GAGAGAGAGGGGGGCGGGATCGGGAAAGGTCCATGAGCCGGGACTCGAACTTGGGATGTGTGAAGCACAACAGCACTATATATCTGCGAACTGCCACAGGGCTATTGGGGCCAACATTTTGCCATTCTTTTACATTTTTTTAACTGGAAAGGCAGGCCACAAACACAAGCCTTACAGTTTCAAGTTACTTCCATTATGTTCATCTTATTTTCATCCCATCAGATACGGGGAGGCCAATTCGATGAGAAGTACGTGCTGTCGTCTCGAGTCAGGACAGGGAGGAGCATCCGAGGCCTGAGTCTGCCCCCGGCCTGCACCCGCGCTGAGCGCAGAGAGGTGGAGAGGGTCGTGATTGATGCCTTGGCAGGCCTAAAAGGGGATCTGGCTGGAAAATACTACAGCCTCACTCTGATGAACGAACAAGAGCAGCAGCAGCTCATTGATGTGGGTATATTCACAAATGCGATGATATGTAACTCAATAAATTTTCATGCTGACCTTTCATTTTGCTATATAGGATCACTTCCTGTTTGATAAGCCTGTGTCGCCCCTGTTGACATGTGCAGGCATGGCTCGCGACTGGCCCGACGCAAGAGGCATCTGGTGAGTTTAACCTCAGTGAGGAGTTGAGTGGTTTGATGGCGAACGATGTCCTCTGACAGGACTGCGTTTCATCCAGAAATAGTCTGAAGCAGCCATGTGCTGTGGTTTGATATCGATCACGGAGTGTACCCATGGCTCACTTACATCTCCTGCATTATTCATCCTCTTTTTTCTCTTCTTCCTTCTGCCTGCAAGGGAAAGTGTGCCAGTGTTGCCAGACTCAATTTGGAAATTACCTTTGATTTAATACCCTGATGGTTTTCGAGCTAACAAAGCACTTCTGATGCCATTTGAGACTAAAAGTGAGACTAAAATGTAATAAGGTCAAGGGTAACTAGGTTTGGGAAATGAGAACAGATTCTTATTTTAAAAATAAAAGAACCATTTTGCCGATGTGGATGTATTGGCATATTAAATTACGCAACAAGCGTGAAACATAAAGCACAACTATTGTAGTCCAACTGAATGACTCTTATCAATTGGTTGTTTTAGTAAATGAAAACTATGCAGTGCAGTCAGTGCCATCCAGTTCCCGAATGAATGACTCTAAATCAATCCTTTTTACTGAATCAAAAACATACAGCTCAACCGGTGGAGTCAGATTCTCATACAAATGACGAGATACAAATGACGATGAGTCGGTTCCTTTTTTTTTTTTTTACAGAATCAGAAATATACAGCGCAACCACTGTAGTCCAATTCCAGATCAAATGCCTCTGAGATGATCCTTTTGACAAAAAAAAAAAAACATACAGCACAAGCAGTGTAGTCTGATTTCCAAGCATATGACTTCAATGAATCGGTCCTTTTTACTGAATCCAAAACATGCAATGCAGCCAGTGGAGTCCACTTCCCAAACAAATGACTTTAATGATTCGGTCCTTTTTTACAGAATCAGAAACATACAGTGCAATCAGTGGAGTCCGATTCTCCAATGAATGACTGACTCAGTTGTTGTTAGAAAATAAGAAATGTACAGTGCAAACCAAAATAGACTCCAGATCAAATGCCTCTGAGACGATCCTTTTGACTGAATCGAAAACATACAGCACAAGCAGTGTAGTCCAATTCCCAAATGAGTCTTTCCTTTATATTAAATCATATTGTTCATATGGTAATGTGTAGCAAAAGATACACATTTTACATTTTATCAGTAGTATTTTATAAATAGGAATGAATTTAATGTTTTAAAAAAAAAAATCAATATTATCGTTTAATATACTGTACGGGCATGTCGCCTTTTAAAAAGAATGAAAAGTCATTAATCATTTATTTTTTATGCAGTGCAATTTCCATATTTATGCAATGCAATATAAGTTCAAAAATTGTTAATGTAATTGTTCTTTCAGTTAGTATAAGGACTCTTCTCACCGAATATTCAAATCTGTCATATTCAAATCTCAGTGTCACCCACTATTTTGTTTATGCGCATGGTGGAGATCTCTTCCAAAAAATGTTGTCGTCACATGCATATATTTACAGGCCAAAGACATTGGCCTCAATATTTCTGCAGAAGATAATAATGAGATGCCTTTCAATTCCAGGCACAACAATGAGAAAACCTTCTTGGTTTGGGTCAACGAGGAAGACCACACTCGTGTGATCTCCATGGAGAAGGGGGGCAACATGAAGAGGGTCTTTGAGCGTTTCTGCAGGGGTCTCCAAGAGGTAGGGTCATACATGTGTATTGTGTAGTATGTGGCTCTCGGTCACTGTTAAAACTGCACAAGCCTCCATTATTTATCCAGCAGAGATGCTGCAGCTGTGTTTATTGCAGCTCAGAGCAATGCCCTTTTGTGGACATACAGTTGTAAACACATTGTCCTGCCAGACGGGCATCTGTGTGTAATTATGTGTATGGATCAGTCTTAGTCTGTTGCTCATTCTAAAAGGGAATCATAAATATATGTCGTATGTTTAATTTTTGAGCAGCTTTTTAATTGTTCTTAGTTAAAACAGATCACTCTTGTTATCTTTCTCACAAGACTCTCTCTTTGTCCCTCAGGTTGAGAGACTAATACAGGAGAAGGGTTGGGAATTCATGTGGAACGAGCGCCTGGGTTACATTCTCACCTGTCCGTCAAACCTGGGCACAGGGCTACGAGCTGGCGTCCATGTTACTCTTCCTCGCCTCAGCAAGGTCCTCGCTCTAGAAATACACTATAAACTTATGTCATGTTAACAATTTTGCACCTTGTTTGTCACATGCATGGTAATATTAATGCATTTCAATATTTATGTTCACTTTTTCTTGCAGGACCCTCGTTTCCCTAAGATCCTGGATAACCTGCGACTCCAGAAAAGGGGGACTGGAGGAGTGGACACCGCAGCTGTTGGAAACACTTTTGATATTTCCAATCTGGACAGGCTGGGCCAATCAGAGGTGAGTGGTGTAAAAAATAAATAAATATATTTAAGTTTTTTTTTTTAAATAGATAATGATATTCAAGTTCTTCACTACTTTGTCTAAATAAATTCAAAATAAAACACTAAAAAACAAAAACATTTTAAATGTTACAAGTAAATTTAGGCATCACAACATTATATAATGTACAGTATGAAAAATTTATTTTATGAGAGATTACATTTAACTGTGTTATCAAATTAATAGTGCCTTAAAGTGAGTGTGAGATGAAGGCTTAATACACACACACACACACACACACACCTGCCAAGGGCCATTGACGTGAGAAAAATGACCGGCCGTAAATATTTTTATATTTATATGTAATATCTGTATGTGCATTATTTCATTAAAAAGAGGCGGAAAATTGGGAAAACAGATTGCAATTTATTATAATTATTATTAATTTCTATTATTATTTAATCAAATTATAAAAAGTAAAGAATAAAGAAATATCACTATATCACTCTAATATTACTGAACTGCAAAGTATTTCATCATTTTAATGTATATAGATTTTTGTGAGAAGCATCTTTTACTGTGAACTGTGAAAAGATGACAGCACATCACACAGCACATCAGATTGCATATTTGTATAATTACAATGCAGTCTTTGTGATTTCATAATCACGCTAAACCATATTGCGTTTTCAGGCATTGTTCAAATTAATTAAAAAAGTTACCGGCCAACTGGAGAATAACAGTGTTTCAAATACTCGCCAAAGATGATTTTTAGTCGTATTTCGCATTTGGCGAGTGCTCATTTCAGGCCATGGGTACCGATATATTGTGGTAAGTAAATGATGATAGAATTTTCATTTTTGGGTGAACGGTTTCTTTAAAAAAATTTAATTACCTCACCATAACTTCTTGTCTCTATCAATGTGTGCTCAGGTCCAGCTGGTTCAGACTGTGATAGATGGAGTGAACTATCTCATCGAATGCGAGAAGAAACTGGAGAGAGGCCAAGACGTCAAAATCCCCGCCCCCATCAGCCAGTTTAAATAGACTGGCAGTCTTGCTTAGCTCCTCCCTTCTCCTGACTCCTCCCTCTTGTGTGTTCCTTCCTCCTTCAATATTCCGCTGATACTGATCCATAAGCATGTCTCTATGTTTCGCCAGACAAACCACACTCCAGTATAAAACAGGAGTGAATGTATCGTACATCATGATTGTGTTCATGTGGCGCTATTGATTTGTCACATTGTAACTGACTTGATTATGTTGCAATAATACTATAATAGCCATTTTCAAAATTTGCCTCAGGTGTCAGAGAATTAAACAGATGTTTTTGCTGAACGTTGACGATATAAATTGCTGAAGGGTCTCGGAGAGTGTTTTATTGTACATTTTTCTGTTGTTTTACATGAAGTAGGCGAAAAGCAAAACTATCACTGAAATAATTCACATTAAAGGTGCTCAGTCATGTTTTTATGTTGCACTGGGAGTCGTCTTGTACTGACACCTAGTGGTGTGGATGAAGCATTGCAGAAACGCTTTATTTGCAGTCAGCCATGATTAATTGATTCCATAAGTTCAAGTCCAGCTGGTCATGTGATTTCAAAATGACACCCCCATGAAGCGACCCAGTCCATGTAAAATAAAGTCGGCGTTATATATCGGCGTACTGCCCACTAGACTTTCGGCGTCGATGCCAAGGTGGCTTTTGAGAGTTCAATGCTCAAAGTCACTTTTGCTAATTGGGTAGAATCTGAGGTGAAGTCACAAGGCTTGCACATCGCATTATGTTAGAAAACGTAAATTAAAAATTTAGTCAGACAGACAGATTGATAGATTTAATAGAATTCATTAAAAACAGTCAATTGCCAACAAGCAGGTATCATTACAATATATCATAAAGATGAAAAGGTTTATTATCTTACCAATACAAATGTTACTAATGTCTACTGATGTCATTTTAGAAAGTATTTAAACTATATACATTTTAGAAATGAGTGTAAACTGTGTGAAAAAAAAACATCTAAGTCCCCCATCCAGTGTTTGTGACGGAGAACAGAAGTCACAGAGTTGGTTTGCTGATGCATTCTTCTTACTTTTCTCAGCATTCATGCAGGTTAAGGAAAGCCTGAACTGTCACAACAGATAAAAAGTAACTAATGACTTTTGTTATATTAAATTAAATTATGACTAAGTAAAAAGAGGAAATCGCAAAGGGGGTTAAATATTTTGCAGCATTGTATGATTGTATGAAAATACTCTATCCAGACTAGATCAAATATAATGTTGCCGTTGCAATTCGCTTATCATGAAAACGCTTGGTGTTCATACCCACCGAATATATCCTGGAGCCGGTCCATCTCCTCTAGGTTGCGCTGGAGCTTTTCCATCAGCTCGAAGTACCTGTGGAGATTGTCTTCACGCCAGCACTCTGTCTCACAGTCGTCCTGAAACTCAGCAGCCTGAATAAACGCTTCCAGACCCATGTCCCACTCCAGCTCATGTCTCGAGGTATGGCCGTCCAAATTAACATTTGGACTTGGTTGTTCTTCCTCATCTTTGACAGGTTTGTGGTCCTTCAGTTGGTTTGTTTGGCTTATCGCCCTGAAATCACAAATTGAATGTTTTAACATAGCGGTGGGCGATATGACCAAAATCTTATATCACCATACGAGTCATTTTATTTCACGATAACGATATATACTACAATAAAGTTATTTTTGCTTTAAATAAGGTCTTTATGATATCAAAAATTTTGATAACATAGAAATTTCATAATTCTTGACACCAGTGTCAATATTACAAAAAACGAATACTAGCCTAAATTTAAAAACAAAACAAAATTCAAGCTCACTGAAGATAAGTAAACAGTAAGCAATTAAATAAGAATAAGAAGCTAATTACAAGCAATAGGACAAATAACTACAGTAGAACAAATAAATAAGAAATACGTACACTATATAAAGTAATCAAATGTATAAAAATAATGCTGTGTAAATTAAACATATTTCTTCTTATGAAAGTTACAAAAGTGATTTAGTCAAGAGCAGTGAGAGATTTCTCTCTTTTATTCTTACAAAGATGGGCATTTTGACATATACAAGTGTGTGTATTTAACCATCCAAGGCCTATAAAGTGCGTGCATATAGAGAAATGAGTTCTCTTTCGCTGCTCGTTGCATTTCAACGGCTTAAAATCACTTGTTTTTAAACCGCAATGCTTGAAAACGCATGCAAACGAAAAGTTTTCGTGACCACGGTGCACAGCGATGTCACGTGAGTGTGTAACCGTGATAGAAACAATAGTCCAAAATCTCTACCGGTTGACAAATTTCTACCAGTTAATTGTGTCTTCCGGTATATTGCCCACCCCTGTTTTAATATGTTTAACAAGCCAACATAAACTACATGCATCTAGTAAATCAAAACATATTATTTGTTCACCTACCCCATATGACTTGCTTTGAACATCTCTGCTCTGCGCAGGATTTGCAATTGTTGCACCTCTTTGGAGAGATTGTTACGAATTTCCTGAAAGTCATCAACTGTGGAAATGAAGGAAACAGATGAAATGTTACAGTTAAGAATATACATGCACTACCATTCAAAAGTTTAGGGTCGGTAGGGCTTCTGGACAACCTTTTTTTTGTGTTAGAATTTTTTTATAGAGGAAAACATTTTTGGGAAGAAATATACCCAGAAAGGCACTAAAACACAATTAATTATTTTCACCTTGTTCTGGGTGTAATTTTGTGTATCATGCAATAAAGAAAATCACTGGGTTTAGAACAATCAATATTTCTTTATATATTGTAAGAATACTTACTTATAAGGGTCATAAAAACACAGGTCATCAAGGCTCCAAAAACAAACCACACCATAATGAACAATCCACAGAGTTGATGGTTTAGCTCTGGAACTCTCTGAATGTCTTTTAGTAAATCAAGCCAGTGCTCAAAGGTAAAAATACTGAAGAGTGTGATGAACGCACTGGATAAATCTCTAAAAAAGAAGACAAGCACATCCATTAAGAACAACCCACACCTTGTTCATAAACTGTTCAAGTTTTCACAATGAAAATGCCCTCACTTGAAATCCTTCTTGTAGAGCAGACCTTCAACGTTGGAGTCGGTGTATTTTTCGAACAGAACTACTCCAAACACAGCAAAAACTAAAAAGCTCATTACCAACACTGGAAATATCAACTTCACGGTCTGTTGAAAGTAGTTAGCATTGTTAGTTTTAATGAAACATTGTTTCTTACACAGTACAGGCTTATGGATAATTGCATACCCCACATGCATGGTAGATTATCTGCAACATAAGACGAATATCCTGGAATCTGGAAACAATCTTCAAACATCGGAGGACGCGAAACTGGACGAGAAGTTTCAAAAATTTTTGCGATATTAACGCACCTCTGAAGGTCTCGGGGACAATCGCTGGAAGAACAGGCTAACAGAAAAAAAATGTTACATGGGGTGTCATGTTGTCAAGTTGTTGACCACATGTACTTCAATTGATAGCACTTGATTACAGTTTGATTGATAAAAAAACAACATCTCTTGTTTCTCATCAGCAAGATGCTAACGGTCTAATCAGATTCAATGATCTATGCTAAGCTACAGCTAAAAGTGCTACCGCCAGACCCGGAGATCGGCTGAATGGATTCGAAAACGGTAAAACTCAACTGTTTAACTCTAGGGAAGTTGGAAAATGAGCCTATTTTCAAAAATAGTGGAGTGTTCCTTTAAACTACACCATACACCTTTCAGTGAACTGTGGTTTTACACGTGATTTTTTTTTTTTTTACATCTTTTACTTAGATTTGTTTGATACATTTAGCCTCTTACCTGTATCTCACATGCACTTTTAGGATTGAATTTTTTTGGTAAATTTGAATATGCATGCACAAAGATGTAACTGACATAACAAATAAACTATATCTAATGAACTACAGCCCAAAAGGGTGGAGAGTCAAACAGTCTAAATTTGAAAACAAAAAAAGAGGAGACGTCTACATTTCACTCTGCTGCCACCCTATTGATGAAGCATTGCAGATTCAGATGGTGAGCATCTTTTTCAAGTGAAAGTTTATTAAAGTAAAATTAATCAATTAATTAACTAATTAAAATATTTTGTTTGAAAACTTGGACTGTTTTTGAGTAGCATGATTTACAAGTTGAAATTACAAGTCATTAGTCATTAACGGAGTTAATTCTGGTAATTATCATTTTATTTTTTCTTATAAATTTCATATAATGATATATTGAAATAAAATTTCAATGAATATTGAAAAAAATTTTTCCCACATCACAGAGGTTTTGCTGTAATTCTTGTCAAATTTAAAATGTCAAAGAATTTCTCTTTTTTTTTTAATTAATGAAAAGTAGGTAAACGTAGTAAATAACAATAAACAAGGTAACATTCAAAACTTTGACATTTTTGCACAATAAATAACTAATAAGATGTTACTGATCAGATATGGTTTTAGTTGAAAAATATTAGGTTATGACTGTTTCATAAGCTCACGTTTCAGTGGGTCAAAATTAACCAGAGAATGTGCGTATAGTTTTTTAAAGCTATAGGACAGGAGGGTTAATGTTTGACAGTGTTGCAAACGGTGGAACTTTCCTATAACTTTACAAAGATAATAGTAAGCAATTTTTCATGCAAAAAATTACACTAACACAGATACTTGTTTGCGTCTTGTGGCTATACTATTGAAACACAAGTATAGCTTTTATTGAGTATTTTACGGATTACAAATCAACCCAATTCACTTCCACTGTAAGTGTCTCACTGTAACCCAGACTAAAGAAGACAAAGCTCAAATTAAATTAATATCGCTTCATTTTTAAGCATTCATACCATCAGAGTCACAGCAAAATCAAAGACGTTCCATGGACTTTTCCAAAACAGCCAGAAATCGTCCAGCCACTTCAGGATGATTTCTAAAACGTAAACTTGTAGTATAGACCAGTTCAGTAGTTGTAGAACCACCAAAAGGATGTCTATGCTTGGATCCTTATAGTCATGAAACTCTGAATACGCAAACAGAGATTGCTCATGAGTGATTTACATATTGGTCTTCTTCTTTAACCTATAACACGGACCAACTTAAAAATCGTGAGCTAATGACCTCTCACCTGCTTCTACTGATAGTAAAGAAACATTCAAAATGACAAGGACAAGCATGAGAGCTTTAAACAGACTACCTAATATATTTACGTTAAGGAGAGTACACTTTCAGACAGTCTCGAATTTAAAAACTGTGCTGCCTTGAACTTGCTTTTTTTTTGGAACACAAGATTTCTTATGTATAAAAGGATACTCTCTAAGATCCAGTGTGCAAACATATTCAGAGGAGGATATCTGGAATGGCGGTTCAGCACACGGTTCAGTCTGCGTTGCTCCAGGGTAATGCTGTCTTTTCTGTGGCGACTGATTTCAAACCTCACCAAGTGATTATATTCATTCTCCAGACTGGTGTATCGCTCCAGATCTAAGACACAAATATGCAGAAAACATTTTTTAATCATTATTTTCTTTGTTCTTTCCAGCTGATATTGTAATACCCCTTGAAAGTGAACCCTGTTACCATATTTATCAGCTTGTCATAATGGCAACTTGTCATTATCATGACATCATCATCCCCTTAGGAAGTGAACTCTTTTAAGTGCACTCATTTTTATCATTTTTTTATGTTAACTTATTCTAACTTGTGAACCCTGTTACCATTATGTCTTACAGTTCACAACTGATAATTAAATAGTAGTAATCTGTAAAAATAGAAGTAATTCTCTAAATTTGAAGAAGCACACACAATGTCAGTTTAAACCGTAAAACCTTGTTACCTGAGGGCAAATATATAGTGATGTTACGTTCAACACCGAAGCTTCTAAGCTTCGAAACAAGACATTTCACATTGAAGCTAGGGATGGGCGTATCGATCCGAAATATCGATATATCGATACTGATGCAAGTATCGAAAGTATCGATACTCAAACAATAAATATCGATACTAAGGTGTGTTTTATTTACCAGTGATTTTGTTTATTTAACAAAAAAAAAGAAGTGAAAACCACGTGACTGCTTCAGTGTCTGGTTCAAACGAAGCGAACCTCAGCACAGTTTCCTTTACATTATATTACATTATAATGTGTTAGCATTGTTTTATTTATTTATCGTAATTTATATATTGAGCTCAAAAATGAACTTTGGCCATGAAATAACAGTCTAAGGACTGAGGCAGAGATCATAGATGTAATTTATGAATTTATGTTTTATTTATTTTACTTATGTTTAGTGCCAGTACACCGACACAAATGAATGACTTTGACAATGACCATTATTCATATAAAATATAATAAAACAAAGAATCAGTTGTAGAACCAGATGTGAAACCACTGGCTGTAATTGATAACACTTTGGAAGGTGTTATTTATTTTTATGACCACTAGATGGCCACAGCATAAACCGTTTTAAAAAGCTTCGAGTTATGAACCTTTTTCCGACACAATTGTGTTGAAAGCTTCGCTGGTTCAGAACGCTTCACTTCGCCATCACTACAAATATATTTATACTCTAATATATATTAAAACGTACTAATATAGCTTCAGTCAGCAGCACATTGCAATTTAATAACACTTAAAACATGATTTGTATTACATACCAGTCACATCCTTGACGCTGTGTTGTGGTTTGTCTTTGTGCTCCTCGCGCTCTGGGAGAAGATCGCAGAGATCTGCCATGTTGATGAGTTTTGATCGAATAATCTGCGCTCTCGGAGAAAGGGTTTCCTCACTGGAAATGTTGTCCTCATGTTGGTTTGACTCACAGGTTTTATTTTCCTGACCTTTAATGACACTGCTCATTGTAAATGGGTGGCAAAATGTACAACTAAATTCAACCCACTAATTTGTAGCGAGCATGACGTCAAACAACATTTAACGGTCAAAGGATGTGAATGTTATCGCTTTAGTGACCCATTTATTTATGTGTTTGTTTGTTTATTTATTTATCTATTTATTTATTTATTGCGGGCTGGTCGATATTACTCAAATATAAATTGGCAAACTGAGGTGACTTGGTTGCGTTCAGTGACCAATATACCCTGTAGAGGGCAGAAGGACTCATTCTAAGTATATCTTTCTTATCTCGCTGAGATTTTCCATTTAAATAATATTGTAACACTGAAATAAAGTAACATTGGTTACTTGCTTAGGCTACATACCTGTCCAAATTAAATAAATAAATACTCAAAGACAAGAGACAAGGAATAATTAATAATAATAAAAAAAACTATTTAGATCTTGTTATGGGTATGGATATAATTGTCTTTACCTGCAAAGTTGTTCAGAAGCTTCACACACAATAAAGAGATAATTAATTTTGTTCCCTTCAGTGGGTTTCTTCCATAAGATGTATGTCACAATGTGTATTGGAATGTTGGATTCCCCAATAAAAATATTTAAACACAATGATTTTCTTCTGTTTTTTAAGTGTCCCCTTACTATTTTTGAGTATGAGAAACCGCTGCAAACGATTCAGTGTGAGTGAATCGAATGAATCGAACTGAATTGCTCTATTAGATGAACAGTGATTCATTCACGAATGTATCATTGCTAGTTCTGATTGTAAATAGCTGGGAAAAAATACACATAGCCTAGCATAATTGCTGAATAATTATTGTGAATTATGAGAGCACTAATCAAATTTTATTAAAAGCATTTTATTAGAGTTTTTTAAAATAAAAAAATAAATTGTTGATTTGAGAATGATCCACATGGCATGTCTGACATCAAGGAGTTCATGGTCATTTCTTGGAGTTCATTTCACAAATTTGATAATTTGATAAGTGACCTAGAATCTTCTGAGTTGTACAGTTTGGACATAGTACACTTTAACAACTAACAAAGCCAACTATTTTTCCTTGTAATGTGCAAACTGCAAAGATGAATTCCCCACCGGAAGTGTGTGTTTCCCGAGTTCTGATTGGCTGATTGCAACGGCATGACGCTGCTGAAAATCCAATAGTGAGATGCCACACTTTGGTTACTTTGAAGAGCTCCGGTTTGCACATCCGTGCGTCCGTCTGCGCTTTCTCTTTCATTAAGTACAGGGTGCCAGATCCAGCGGGCCTTTCTTTTGAACACTCCTTCCTTTCGCAACAACACCTCAAAAAGAAGCAATTAATTGAGGGCTACCGGGAAATTAATCATTTCCTTCACGTTTGCACTGAAAAGGGTTTGAAATGATGCTGGGTGTGCTGTTTATCGCTGCTTTTGCAGCGGCCGCGCGTGCGAGTGATGTGCTGGAGTACACAGATGATGATTTTGATAGCAAAATCGGAGATCATGACCTTATTCTGGTGGAGTTCTTCGCACCCTGGTGAGTGTATGACGATTCTGGCTTTTAAACTATCTTTTCTTCATGCAATTTAGAAAATCTGTACATTAAAACATTTGGTGCATTAGCGCTTACTCTAGATAATTATTAATAATTATAAATGTAATTATTAAGGTTTTTTCTAGATACCAATCATATAATGTAGTATTATGGAACTGCGTGCATAATAGGGGCTTTGAATAACACTACAAAGCTAGTTTGCTAAAGCCAAAGTAACTGCACTAGCTGCTTTTTTAGTCAAGTTAGAAGTACTGTATGCAAGGTTGTGAGATGCTAATAAGGAATCTGAGAAATGTATATGGAGTGAAAAAGACTTTTAAACGCTCGCTGGGATCAGAATGAATCCATGCAACTCCATAGTTGTGGAGGAAACTAATTATATCAGTCACTTCCTGTTTGTAGCTTTTCCTCTTATTTGCTAATGCTATGTAACGTTAGTGGATTAGTTGCCTGTCAGTCGCTCACATTATGCATAACGTCTCATAATGTGTTCTGTGAGGCGAAAGAAAGTCGTACAGGTTTGAGTCCACATGAGATTGAGTAACTGATGATGAATTCTTATTTTTAGGTCAACTGTCTCTTTAAGAACTTGCACTCTGCACATGAAGGCCAACATTAGTTGTTTGTTCTCTGTGAAATTGGATTTTTAGAGCAATTTGCAGGTTTACAGAATTAAACCTCAAAGTGTGTCGAAACAGATTTAATGTTTGTCTTAAGTCGCGGCTATAGAACGTTTATCAGATAGAAATCGCTGATGAGGGCGGTAACAAGGATGTTTGGAGGTTCGGAGATTGAGGTCTCTCTGCAGAGCAAAAATGGGCGTTTCTGACTGTGGGTGTTTCTAAATGATGCAATGAAAATGATCCCCCTTACCTAACCCCACCCCTAAACTGACCCGTCACTATGACTGCAGCCAATCAGGTAACATGGTCGAAAACGCCCCTCTGTTTTGCTGTCGCCCACCGATCTGGTAACGCCCATTACTTTCCTGCAGAGACCTATACTTGGAGGTTCGGCGGCCCTCCGTTGTAACGTTTTAATTGGTCGATGAAGTTTCGCTGGCCGTGTGTGATTGGATGACGCATTATTGCGTAGTTCAGCGTTACTGACTAACTTCAGACTAATTGATCAAAATGACTTACCGTGCCTCAGGTTTTATAGGTAGTTCAGGGGTAATTTACCTAAAACAAAAGCAAATATTGGCATTTACTGAGCTTCATATTTTCTTTTTTGTTGTTGTTATAAGGATATTCTAGTTCGAATAAAAGTCAGAAATCCACCAATCTGTCATGAGTGTATAGTAGACCAACTTTGCAAAGTAATAAACCTCATGTGTCATCTTCACTTTTAGGTGTGGCCATTGCAAACATCTTGCTCCAGAGTATGAGGCAGCTGCCACTCGACTAAAAGGCATCGTCCCACTTGCTAAGGTATTATCAAACCCTGCAAATTTACCTGGAAATCATTTTACGTAGTCTCATTATAGACTTTCATATTTTTCAGAGTGCACTTAATTGTACGTAATGTGCACTTGTAGTGTACAGATAACATAATATAAAAAAATAAATTTAAAAAACACTTAAGTGTATTTAAAGAAAGATAACGTTTCTTAAATTTAAGTTCACTTTTTTTTCTTTTTTTTTAAATGCTCTTTTTAGTAATGCCACAATATAACTTCACCCCCAAAATGAAAATTCTGTCATCTACTCTCCCAAAAGTTGTTACCAAACAACTGCTGGTATCTATTGACTTCCATCGTATGGGGAAAAATTCTATTGAAGTCAAAGGCTACCAGCAACTGTTTGGTAACCAACAACTTTAGGGTGAGTAACTTTTTTTTTGGGTGAACTGTCCCTTTAATTGCAAATATCATGCAAAAGTCACCAAAAACATTGCATTCATTTCACACTTATACTCGCACAGAATATTCTTTTATTATTTGCGTATGCTAAAAGTATACTGTAGTGTACTCTCTTTTCACAAGGGTTGACTTGGGTCTGGTGGAGGAATGCTCTTAATGTTCTTCTCTAATATGATCTAGGTGGACTGTACCGCCAGTTCCAACGTGTGCGGCAAATATGGCGTGAGCGGATACCCAACCCTGAAGATTTTCAGAGACGGAGAGGATTCTGGTAGCTACGACGGTCCCAGGACAGCAGGTGTGTTCTTGTATCTTGTGTGATGCCATATGTAGTTTCTTTATGAGATATTAATGCCTTCTGTATCTTCTTTAATCCAACAGATGGAATTGTTAGCCACCTGAAGAAGCAGGCAGGTCCATCCTCGGTGGAGCTCAAAAGTGAGGCTGAATTTCAGAAGTTCATTGGGCACCGTGATGCCAGTGTTGTGGGTAAGTGATGGTATTGTACAGTAATGTTTACTGTCTCACATTAGACCTGATTGTACTGTATTACTTTTTTTTGCATCAGTGCTCTTGACTATATTATATGTAATTGTTATCCGTGTGTCCAGGATTCTTCGCTGATGGAGGAAGTGCTGCTCAGGGAGAGTTCCTGAAGGCTGCCAGCGCTTTAAGAGAGTCCTACCGTTTCGCCTACACTAACGTAGAGGACTTATTGAAGAAGCATGATGTTGATGGAGAGTATGTGGCATTTTTCTGTTCCTAGTGATTTTGGTTTCAGTTTTGCAGAGAAATTCATTCTGTTTCTAATATTCTTTTTTTTTTAATGCGTGTTGCAGGGGCATTATTTTGTTCCGACCACCTCATCTCAGCAACAAATTTGAAGACGGCAGTGTGAAATTCACTGAGGACAAATTCACAAGTGCAAAGATCAAGAAGTTCATTCAGGATAACATGTATGTTTTAGCTTATGATCACTGTTAAAATGAGTGAAATAGGGCACTCAGTTGCTAATATCTGCATTCTGTTTACTATTAGTTTATCTGATGTGTGGTTTGGTGGTTGAATATGTAATATTAAATATTTTCCCCCATATGACAGTTTTGGCATCTGTCCCCACATGAATGATGACAACAAAGACCAGCTGAAAGGCAAAGACTTGTTGGTGGCCTACTATGATGTGGATTATGAGAAGAACCCCAAGGGTTCAAACTACTGGAGGAACAGGTAGAACTATTTTGTGAATTTGTTTGTTCAGGGACAGTTAAATTTATGTATATAGAAGTGGCATTTATTTTCAGTAGATTTCAAGTACTATGGAAATATGGAAGTTGCAAGGTTTTATTTATATATATATATATATATATTTATTTATATATACATACAATGAATCTGTCAAATAAGTTCAGATATTCAGACAACAATATATATATACACACACACTGTATGTGTATGTATGTGTTTTATATGCATGTAATCATATATGCCCACTTCGGAAAAGTTGCAAAATACTACATTTAAAAAAAATCTAAGAATTTTTTTTTATAGTGGATGTAAATTTTTCCCTTTATGGAAGTATTTTTTGTCTTTATGTTGAAAAGAAAATGAATTTATAGAATATTACTTTTCAACGAAGCAGTGTGTTTAAATGGTGATCTGAGATCAGACTCTTCTTGTCCTTGTGTGTGTCTCTCCAGGGTAATGAAGGTGGCCAAGAGCTTCCTGGATCAGGGGAAGAAGCTCAGCTTCGCTGTGGCCAATAAGAACAGCTTTAACCATGACGTGTCTGAGCTGGGTCTGGACGGCAGCAGTGGAGAGCTGCCTCTTGTCGGCATCCGTACTGCCAAGGGAGACAAATACGTCATGA